CATCTAGTTACGATCAAATTAGCATGATGTATAGCATCTTTAGATGCCGACATACTTTTTCTCTTTTTTTTATCAAGCTCTTTATCATGTGTAGTTGAACTTTGTTCCTTGGAAAGATCATTGAAACTCCTCTCTTCTTCAATGGCTAAATCATGATACACATTTATACTCTCTTATCTCTTCTTGGTTTCTCTTAAATATTTCTTTCAAATTCTCTTGCATCTGATAATGTATATCATGTGACACTTTTTTTACTTGCAGTATTATTACCCTTCACTCTAACTTTGTGTTGTTTCATTTTATTAATTCCGCCACTTTTATATATAGTTCCACCATACATGTATTTATACTTTTTTTTTTAAATCAAAACCTTTAAATCCACTAAATGTTTCCATGATATATCTACTTTTCCTTGCTTGCCATGTGTGGAAATAACAAATCAACTTCCAAAATGATCCATTTTAATGTAAATAATATAAAATTATTAGCATAACTATTAACAATTTGCATATTGATATGAAATGATAACACACATTGTCAAATAAGTTGAATATATTGCCGCACAAAATGATTATCATACTGGTACATTAATCAAATATGTTTATTAAAAATAAGTTAATCTATGTAAAGTAATAATGCTAAGCAAAGCACACCGAAAACATAGCGTAGCTTTATATAAAGCCAAGCTTAACAAAGTGCAAGCATAGCCTATCTATATTTTTCTTCTTTTACCAAGCCAAGCCAGACGCTGGAGCTGTCCGTAGAGACATCTCTTGTTATTTGCTACAGTTCCACGAACCAATTCCACGACCTAAGACATGATGGGAAACTTCATAGCGACTTGAAACCGGTTTAAAACAGTGAATTGAGGGCCAACCGACTTTCCTTACGTGGATTTGGCGCCTCCTTTTAACGGTGGCCCCAATTCTAATTATCTTGATCTTATATATTTGATTCATGTGTTTAGGTTTTTAGTCTTGTCATATGTTTTCTATTAGGGCAGCAGTCAACGAC